TGATGACCCAGCGCAAGCGCCAAGGCCGCCCGGTCCTGGCGATTATGTAAATAATGCGCCGCGGTTTGCCCTCTGCGGCACCCATATTTACCTGCTCATCCTCCCGACCTCCATCCGTCGCAGTTGACTCATATATCGCCTTTGAAAATTATACACGATGCGAAATTCCAGACACGTACCCACAGTAACTATGTTCAAGGCGACCGGGACTCGATATGTAGGTATTATTAACTAACATTGTAGGTAAGTACTTATTTGAATTGCCATCATAAACGCGAAAAACACTACACAAGTTGCTTAAATTTCGTTCGTATTTATGGCGGTTGAAGCTGAATGCCCTCTGTCTACAACTGTTTCTCTTTATAAACAAATGGCTCACAATGCTGGTCGTGCGTCACGTTCAGCGATCAGCGAACCTGATACGTAAATCAATAGCAACGAACTGTTCCGAGCGGGACCTCTGTTGGCTTTATCTACGGCACATTATTGTCGCGCTGTTGCGGGCACGCCCTTGAATGTGAACTATTTCAAACTCAACCTGAAATCTGTATGTCATAGGTAAACTTGAAATCAATCAAAACTTAAAACCAAACAAACACTTGAACCATCACATTGATTAAACTCTATTAATTCTCATGCTGAGTAGAATAATTCTGGGAGTTGCTCTTTGTAAATGAACATTTGCAGACATTTATCATTTATAATATTTTTTTAAATATCTTAGACCGAGACGACAGCAAGAGCTAAACGGGTCACTGCCATGGATTTCGTCATGTCCAAGTACGCAGAATCTGTATTATTATACAGCTTCTGCGTAGTTTTGTTTCACTATTGTTTTGAGCTGTGTAAATGGGAAATTTTTAATATCAACTGAAACTTAAAAGTTAGTTAGTTTAAAAACTTAAAAGCGTACATGACCCCTTACATTATTTTGTGACTTTGCGAAGACGAGTAAAGAGATAAAGAAAACATTTATTTCATTATAACTTAATCTAATACAAATAAAGCCAACGTAAAGGAAGCTTTGATTATCATAAACAATAAAAAAGCAACCTTAAATTATAATACAATCCTCATAACGTTATACAATTAAATTTCATTATGTAAAGTAAATGTTTGTACATACTTTCTTATTGAAGCTTCAAAAACAGATTTGACGACTGTCTAGAACAGCCAGTTTATTTTTATTCTACATATTAATGTTATGTTTATCACGATTTTCATTTAAAAAATACTGTTCTCAACATATTCAAATTTTCATAAATATAATGTGACGCTAGTTTAAGAATGTTAACAATATAATAATAATTTTAATATTAATTTATTTAAACTCCACTCAAAGACACTCTGAGGCCCATATTGTATATTGGCCTAACCGCAAGTTTTTGCAGGACCAAGATACATTTTACCGAAAACCGAACATAAATATTTGTTTGCCATTTGATCCTCCTACATTTTATGCAGTTTGCGAAAGTACATACACTTCGTCAGGGGAAATGTGAAATGCCTATAGAGCCACTGAACGAAAATGAGTCATATATTTCGGTTTAAGTTCTTATCTGCACCTATTTGTCCATGTTTCGTAGCACTTTGAGACTTCAAAATTTGCTCCTCTTACTCTTTAAGCGCTTAAATTATCTATACACATGTAGACGAAACAACCAGAATTAAATATTCTACAAGAGATGCGCGACATCATGCAGGTATGTATCCAAGTGGCTAATGAGCCACTTACGAACGGGAAGCTATTACTAGTTAGAGGCGTTTACGTACAAAATTATAATATTTTCATAATAACGAACAGGTGGACCGTCAGCATCTACTTATTTCTATGCTTATCGGTATGTGCGTTGCAAGTTGAAGCTCCTATTTTACCACATCTCTATCCAAATCCACCCTATGTTGATTGCATAATAATTGCAACGTTCCATTCAATTGCCATGTTTAACGACGAGTTCTTAAGAAAATCACCAGTGTATTAAAATAAATAGAATTTACTTTATTTGCTTTTTCGCGGCATGGTTGGAGAAAGAACTCGCTATAAAAAGGTTTTATTTAGTTGCCATGATCCGTGAAATGAAGTGAGTTAAAGATAGGCCATCGCGTCGGCTATGATGAGGGTGTCGTTGAACTATCTTTATTTTTTTTAAAAAAAGGTACTTTCACAGTTTCATTCGGAAAAATAATAATAGAACAGCAATAAAGAGAGCTCAAATTTTAATGTGGCAAATTCAACATAAGACTACACGTAATCTAAATCTCGGTGCCATGTAATAAAGCAGCACATTACTACTGGAAAGTACTAAATATTACACCACCGCGGTGCTTATCATATATAGGCAAAAAACCTATCAAATGTAGGCTTCTGGCCTCTCTACACAGGTACTTTTTACTGCCATGGGGCATGCTATCGGAATGATTCATCTACCCTATAAATACAATCTGGGCACGTGTGATAATTCCAAAGCACAGCTTTTAATAAAGACAGACACGCCATGTTATTGTCGCGGTGGCACCGGATAAGCGCGCGCCCGGCCGATTGTCTCGCGACTATCGTAAATAACTCGCACTGTGTCCGGTGCCACCAAAGCCAACCTCGAATACAGAGTTACCCGACGCCGGTTAGCGAATCCGGGCGACATCCGACTAGATCTAACAAGGTTTTACTAACGTAACCCGCTCTAACGTAATACTCCCCTTATTTTTACCAAAGCACTGAGCAACTGAGGTGGAATACAGCCAATAAATCGCTTGAGACAGCATCGAGAAACCGTAGTTGTTTTCTCGTTCTCAGTGCGACCGCCAGGAAGTTGCCTCCGCGCGCAGCATACAAATAAGCTCGACGTGTGCCGTCACCACTCATCTAAGTTCACCCAGATCGGTTATTACCATAAATCACGAATTTTGCGCTAAATCAGAATAATCCTATTTATAAATATGGTTCGTTTATTACCTTATACATTTGCATTTTAAAATGAAGGCTGTGCCCGTTGGCTATTAATTCTTGCTGAGGCCAAAACAATGGACATGTGTTATAAATAGATGGTATACATTTAAAATGTCAGATTTTGTTTGGTCTATTTATTGTGTGAACGTTATGCGAGAGGTCTATAGAGGGCGGGCGCCGGGGATCGCGCGAGGTTGGGCTATGTTCGAGCAAGGCTGATAGGATCGTGGCAAGGCGCGGCTATAAATAGATTGACTCTGAGCAGGCAGACCCTTGAACCAGCCTCGGTCGTCACCGGACACGATTCAAAAGACTACCTACAACTAACTCATATGCCGCACCAGCTGAAGTAAACACACTCGACCCACAAACGACGAACCCTACTAGCGAGTACAGTTTTCAACATGCCACAATGCCAAATGTTTATGCCTGGGTATATGACGCGGTCACGAGTATTAACATAATTTTTCTTACTTTATCAATAAAGAAAATAAATAAAAAAGCGTTTTCTGTAATATTAGATTTAGTCCCACAAGTACCGCAACAATCCACAATAAAACACGAAGAACAGGGTGCGGGATTCTCTGTTGTTCGCTTTCATTCGTGCATTCAGCGGCTTCTTATTTTTTCCCTGATTAGAGTAAAAGACGTGTAACCGGTTGTGAGCGAAGGCCGCGGCCAGGGACGGGCGTAGATACCATTCGGAGTCGAAGACCTCAGCACCCGCGCACAACCACACCCGCTAATGATGTGCCGTCGCTCGGCCACTCCTAATTGGACGAACTCTCGGCCACTCTATCGGAAAAAAATGCAAGTAGGGATATGCGCTACGCAGAACTGGGATCAGTAAGAACTCGTAGTGCTTAAAATCATAATTAACATTAATATATGACACATAAATTAGCTGCCGCTTTAAAAGGTTCAAAGCGTGCATAGCGGGTTCTATTCTCCTGCATGTTTTTTATGTAAAACATAATAAACAGTTGGCCACAACCTTACCTGGTGTTAAACGGCCGATAATTATCTCTATGCTCTAATATCGTGATTTTGGAAGTGCGAATTCGACCTAGTTCTCAAAAAGTGTTAAAGGCACTCCAAGGTTTTCTTTAACTTTCCCCGTGATATATTGATTGATGACAAAGTAATGTATTTTTAAAGGATATATAGTTAACGGTCGATGAGCGTTTTCTTTGTCCGCTACATAGCTTGCTGAATGCGATTATGTCAGGAGCACGTACACGATAAGAATTGCCCTTTAATAACGGGAGAGCTATGGTGAATTGTCGTAGATTGCAGACGCACTGAAGCAATCTAGCTGTAAATAATGACACAATCGAGGACGTTGTTCTTTAGTAATGGTAACACTAGAAATGCCATGCCACTGTAGATTTTAAACCTACAACTGACCGTTACGTACGCGTTGCACAATACATTGTTCTCATGGTTAGTTTACCAAGTGACAATTTATTTCTTATTTTCCCTGGGAAAAATGAAAATCATAATCACATAGTGGAGAAAAGTCAGATAGACATAACTAATTTACATGAAAAGTTAGAACACGAAGCCATCACAAATGTCAAGAGTAAATTTCGCGAAGTGTGATGTGCGTGCTGCCGTCGTTCTCTCACGATTCAAGCGATCCACCTGAATTCCTACGTGGTCAGCCATTCATTTCGTTTAATAGCTTGTCATATTAATTGTCCCTTTAAAGCGTTCTTTGTCGAGGGATGTGCCATATAAGTGCACGAATCAATTATCATTTCTTATTGGTACAGGTATCGACGTGGTCGTGTCATGCATGTAATGAAATAACTGCTATGAAACCATAGCAGCATAGGTACGAAGTTGTAAAGACCGGAATCGATGCAACGCTTGCCGCAAATTAAAATTAGATTTCTTTCTTGATACGATCGATCTACGGCTACGGTCCAATGAAATTGATTGAGTACGTCAGGCCTGATTACTGTTGATATACCTCAAGCACAAAACACTTCCAGGTTAGCAACTCGATCCGTCTTCGATGTCTAAGCGTAAATGTCATTTCTTGTTGTAGCCATCGATGTGGCCTGACTAATGAAGATTTAAATCGACGGTGGTGCAAACCTAGTCCCGTTTTGCATCCTTCCATTTATCACACGAAGGTAATATAGACTTTATCTGCCAATGCAAGACATATCCCAGAACTGATTTATTCTAAAGTTGATTAATTGTTATCTAGGGTCTGATAGAGTACTTAGTTCGCGTGTGGAAGAAACCGCCACTTGTGTACTGCGATTACCATGGGCATTCCCGCAAGAAAAACGTGTTCTTCTACGGCTGTGCCGGGGCCGAGAGCTGGTGCAGCAACGACCGGATGGTGCAGGACGAACCCGTTAAGTACCTCGTAAGTGTATAATACGGATTTACGCGTAGTTCTAGGTATTAAATAAGACTGGTTCGGTTTACAGTTTACATATATTTATGCATAAGGTTGGTGTTTACATTTTGCCACATAACTGTACACTCTACGTAAAACAAATTATTGTTACATTTTCTTTATTTAATATTTGATTTGTGCTGTAGGTAGATGCAGTATGGATTCTGAAACCTTTTGTATTTTTAGAGCATTTAATATTTACCCCGTCAGATGCTGCCAGCATTGATGCATCGTATATCAGCCGCGTTTGCTCTCGGATCTTGCTCGTTCAGAGTAGAAAAAGAAAGAGAGAGTACAGCGAGGGTGACCGTATGGCGCCACCTCCGCGTCACTCGCTCCTACACTATGGAAGCATCTTTCTGTGGCTTCGACAAAGGTCCTTTCAAGGTACTACATTAAAACATAGTGAGTAACTATTTTAAATGTAAGAACTCGAACAAATCCCGTAACTGGTTCGGTACATACTGCATGTTAAGTAAAAATTATACGTAATTAGCCTCCAGTCATTCCTAAGACGTTCTATGACGATATGCATCCCGTCGCACTTATTTTCCAATTAGAAATGACGGCCTATCTAGAGATTATTGATAACGATATTAATAACATAATACCGCTAGCTATTGCTTGACATTTGTTGACCAGATAAGAACTGTGAATCTTCAACATCGAGCTTTATGTGGGAAGACAGATAAAGTTCCAGCAAAAAGTTCCGACCGCATAATATAAATGTAGTAATGATTACAAACGACTCGAATTTGTTACTATAGTATATTATTACGTTAATAAATAATAATATACTATAGCAACAAATTTTGAAACGTATAGAAAGAATTTTAATAATATATAATATAGAATTTGAGTACATTTTTTCTAAACAACCAATTAAATAAAAAAATAGTTTTTTCGCTATACGCTACAAGTAACTACTTACAAGCTAATGTTTGTTGTCACAAGTTGCTATACGGTTATTGTTAAACACAAACTACTACTATTATGCAGAGGCCATGTTCTTTGAAAATGTGATTTTAGAAATACGTAATGTTAGGAGTGTGATAATAAGGATGTATAAGGAACCGAACCAATTTTTTCGACATGTTTATAAAAGGGGATAAAGCAAAATGGACTGGGTATTTGTAACGTAGTCCGTAGAATAGAAGAAAATAGTCACGAATTGGTACTCACGTTATTGGAAATGTATATAGGGGGCTTCAGCATCCAAGCTGGGAAGATGAGCTGAAGCTGACTGCAAGTCTCCATTTTTTTAGAATTTCTAAAATCACTTCACTTATTATTTATGTGGCTCCATCATTATGAGAAACGATGATTTTGCCAATGTCACGGTTGAATGAAAAAACCTGAAAAAAATTCACTGAGCTCTATTGTGACATTAACCGGTGCTGATGAGTTGGTCCACGCGGGTACTCAGTTGAGAATGTAAAAACAAAAGATAGCACAAACATGAAACACGTATTTATAAATATATATTATTTAAGTGGAAAAATTTACATAGAATAAAAATGAGGGGTGGGGGGAGGAGAAAACTAAAGTTAAAAGATTATTTATATCAGATTTCTAAAATCAATAATTTCTGAACCTACTTGATGAGCGTCACTTGAAACCATTGAGTACGAGTACATAACCAGAAATAGAGACGAAATGTCATTTAATGTCTTTGAAAACTTTCTATATTTCTATTAATTCTGCTATAACATTACGGTGACAACTGCGCTCCGATTGACCAGCCCGAATTCAAAAGAAATAACGAGTGTCGTCAATTGTTTCACTTCAAATCGACCAGTTTAACTTGAGCTTTGATATAATAGACGAAAATTGAAAAATTATATAATTTAATATTTCATTACCAATGAAATGTGATTCCGTTTATTTTGTAATTAGATGTTTTGCTGTTTTTCCCACACCACGGAATGGAACAGCCTCCCATAGTTTGAGATTATCTTTATTACAATAAATACAGAATATTTTTGGAATATACGGAGGCGTACACACAGGTCCGTTGTTGGCGCTTTAGCTTTTTCTTCGCTTTATTTTAGCTTCCTGATTTGTGATTTCAGCGCAAACGAGAGTTGATATTTAAAAGTGATATGAGTACCATTTCACTGATGAGTTGCCAGGGATGGCTCTTATTTCGTCTCTATTTCTGGTTATTTACTCGAACGTTGAAACCGAGACATCGTAAGTTCAATTTGGTTCCTGCCTGAGTCTGACCTTGCACAGTACTGAAGAAGAGAACACTTGGTAGATATGACTAAAAAAATCTGGAGGAGATTTATGCCAAAAGGCATTGAAAGATTCACTGTAGACTGTAGATAGGAAGTAAAATTGTAACTCAGCTAAAAAGACCTAATTTTTTTGAAAATATCATGTGACGAGACGAACAAGTCGTGCGCCTGATGGTAAACTACACGCCTGTCCATAACAGTTGCAGTGCCCCTCAGAGCTACAAATCGCAAAAATCTGAGGGGCGCTGCCACTGCGCTCGTCACGCTGAGACGTAAGTTGACAAGTCCCATATGCCTGTAATTTCACCAGCACACTTACCCTTCAAAACCGGAACACAGAGGTGCTGACATTACTACTTGGCGGCAGAAATAGGCAAGGTGGCACTACTTCCCTGGACGAACTTTCTCACAAGGAGCTCTACTGCTACTAAAATATATATTTTCTACGTCCATTGTCTTACATCATTGTTTCTTCGCTTACAGGGCTTCCACTTAAACACCCAGCACCTGCAAAACGTAGGCGGTGACTTCTGCGAAGCCCTCACTAGTCTTAACGACGCCGCCACTAACGTAGACATTCAGATCACTAAAGATCTTAATGGGTAAGTGAAAGATTAAGGTATCGCAGGTATTCATTATCTCGGATGACTTAACTACGAGCAGTCCTATGGGACAATCTTTTACATTTTCACTTGAGGAGTTCTCTTAACAGAAATCAACATTGTATGCAATATCTACTTTAACGAGGCACAACCATGTTAGAAAGCCAATAAAGTCAGCAGCCCGCGGAGCTTTACACTTTAGACTCGTTTGTTGTCAAGAGCGACGTGCCATTGTCTATACGTTTTATAGAAGTTTTATTAGATAATGTTACTTAAATCTCAAAGCAGCTTCAACGATTGCGTGACTCGTTTTTATGTGATGTAGGTACTTTGAGTTACTGCTTGAAAATGGGCAGATGTTCTTTTGTTTTTGTTGTAGTATTATACCTATCGTGTTTTTTTTTCCTCCAGAAATATCGTTGAGATTAGTATAAACGACCAGGGTGAAAACAGGCAAGTTATGATAATAACATACCATAACAATGACTAACAAATAGGTATTCGTTACTATTAAGATACCTTGCGGTAGCATTCCCGTCTAAGCTTATAAATTAGGTCGCATCATAACAAATAACACTTTACTGCGACTCACTTAATCGGACAAACATCACTCATTTGTGTGGAAGGCTCTAATGTAATTGCGACCTAAACTTGTATTTGTTCTAACATTAAAATGAACATTGTTAAAATCTGCAGAATCTGTGACATCTTGGCACTGGGGAATGTACCACCACCGTGGACAGGCATCAAAATAGTGTTCTTACCAGACGGACAATACCCCTTCGCCATGGCATTTAAAGCAATGAAGTTGACCACATTTCTACTTAAGGCTTTTGAACAAAGTACAGTCAACACAAAAAAAGTCACAACGACATCCTTGCGAAAATGACAACACATTCACATATACAACAAGTCACGCAACAACAAACATCCGAAAAGTAATTAAAATAATATACATTTATCAGTTTATTCATAATTTTAATACATAAATTTTTTTAGTGTTGTATAAAAACTGGAAGAATATGAACACCACTTATTAAGTTATTAAAAAAATACAACTGTCTACAAAATATATCTGTGATGGTGAAAATTAAAACTTCTCATGTTGACAATTTCCAGTAAAACCATGGAAGAATTTGTATTTTTTCAATGTTTGTTGTTATTTTTTGATGTTGGCTGTACCTTAATATCACCGTTGTTTAGACTTAATCAAACGTGGACATTATACGCAAAAACTTAGTCACATAGTTAGCAACAATATAACATGATGAATACTAATTGTATAAATTTAATTAACTTTAAAGTAAACAACATAGCACAACGTCGTTGAACGCACAGTACTATCCTTTACTACTACTCAGTTTAATTGTACGATATTAAATATTACTAATGTGGAACAAATTAATCAGGTGGCGCCTCCTTGATCTTTGGCACTGGTTAAGAAAGGTCAGATTAACAAAAAATATAATGCAACAATTTTAGCGCACAAATAATAGAGAATGCTTCGTAAGGCTAGAATAAACTATGAAATATAAAAGATTTGAAAAAAAGATTAATACAATTTCGATAGGTATTATAACAATGAATAAAATAAATACGTGAAGTTTTTTGTCATTGCAATTTTTTTTACTGCTCATATTACGCTTTTCGAAACACATGCACATTCTATGTAATTTTGTCAAGTTGCCGATGCCGTGCCGTTGTAAAAATTATTTTCAATTATATCACATAATATATTAACATAAGTTTTGCATAACACTTGTCACCGTCTCACCAGAAACCAGATAGTTGATAAAAGTTGTTCAAAGATGACAAGCAGCACGCCCTTACTATCTGTAATACGTAGTTCTTTCAACTCAGGCCTCGCAGACACGGCCTGAGTGACTTCTAACGTGCATGTGTAATTAACAGCTACCGCACAACACTCGCGGCTATCAGATCAACGAGTTGCAAATAACTGTACGTTTATTTTGTCGACAGCGAGATAGGAGTGGATAGCGAGCCCGGCTCGGCACCTGACAGCGTCCTGAAGACGGATTCAGATGAGGACTTCGACTAGTTCACGTCCCAACAAACTAACTCATTGTGGTCACAACAATACCCAAGGAATTTATATCCCAGGCCACACATTATGCGTTCTTGTGCGTTCTATAAATCCTTGAAGATGTAACAACAGTGGGTCCATGTCCCTCCATAGTAAAGTTCTAGACACAGGTAGAGATTAATTTTTAGAAGTTGTTTTATTTTGCTAATCATATTTTAATTGATCTCGGCTCGGTACACCTAAAGAGCTAGAAATTTGATTATCACTCAATATTTAGTAATTTCAAGATAATTCATTCTAGTGAATAGGAGTCCTTTGCAAACTAAGAGCTATTACAATAATTTGGGGCACTTATAATAATGTCATTGTAATTAAACGTCATCAATATTTTACAATTCTTTTCAGAATGGTTTGAAGATTACGTTGTTTTCTAATCAGGTAAATTTCACTATTTATAATACAACTACGATGTTCATATAATTGTTTTTTTTTAATCGTAATGTTAAACTTAAAATTTAGAAGTAAAATATTTTTCAATAATTAAACACGCTGTGTTGGTTATTTTGTGATTATTAATTTCGTTCATAATTTGTTCTATGTATATTTCCACTAATCCAACAAATAACCTATATATAAAGTTAGACACGTAAGGCATAGCGATGCGTAATTTACAGTTTCACTGACACTAGAAGACATAATTCTATACTATTTAACATTTTTATGAAATGTTTATCTAAAGTTAAAAAGTGAGTAATAAAGACATCTAGTGATTTAAAAGTTATGATGCCCACTGTATAACTGCACTTTAAATAAATGCAGTCTACGTAAGTAAAGCGTATTATTTTTCGTTATAAGTCATAAAAGATGTTTAATTTAATTAATTTAAATCCATTTTTAAATTCAGAACTAAGTTCAATAACTTACTTAAAATCACATGTAATAAATTAATGTTGTTGAATTGGTCTTAAAAAGATATCTAGACTTAAGTCCTTCATCGTACATACATCACTTGAACATTACTAAATGAGAATATCCAGATTATTAGCTACTTGGGTTTAACGTGCTAAGATTAATTTTATTTACTTCTAAGTTTATTATAAGTAGTTATTTTGCGCAGCAACAAAATCTGATTGTGTCATTTTAGGCCTGTGATCGACCATTATAAAGGTTGTTTTGTTTGATGTGATATTAAATAAATCTTAAGTGGCTTGTGATCTCAATTATAAAGAATAAAATAATCCTTCAGTGTTTTGATTTATAATAGGACTACCTAAAAACCATATTATTACTATACATAAAAAACATATACCGGCACATTTAGTGGAACTAAAAGTGATAATTTAAAATGGTAACATTTAATTTAAACAAATAAGAATTAAGACATAAATTAGCAACTACATATAGCAGATTATTGACGAGTTTCAAAATTGAACAGTTAACGAAAATGGCGTAGGTATTAACGAAAATGGCGAGTAGTCCCCTAATTCAATGTCTAACCAGAAATATTCAACTTACTAGACAAATCTATAGCATAATATTTTCCATTTCTGCCTTCAGTTATTTTGTGTCATCATAGATTTAGTATATAGGTATATGTAGGTATACTAAATCTATGTGTGTCATAGATACTTCCGTACTACTAAAGAAAAACTATATTTCGATTTTTTAGGTTTTCACGAGTTACACTTATACTTTTTGTCCTGTACCTAATTTTGGTGGCAATTTTATTTAGTCTACGAGTATATAATCGTGAAATATGAAATAATATTTCAGGATACTACACACTAATTTTAAATACCTAATACTTCTTGATAATATTGTAGAATATATCGAAATAATAAAAATTGCCACCGAAATTAGGTTGGGAAAACAAATCTAAAACTTGCCTATTGAACTCTATTAACTCAACCTACAAATGAGACGTGTTCGATATCATGAAATTTACAAAATCTAAAGAAATTCTTTTTTTTTTCACCTGATGTAAAACGACGATATTACGCGTTTATCCGATAAATTCCTATTCAATCTAGCCTTGAATAGCCCTAAATTATAGCTTTCGGAAAACGGTTTATAACATTCCTTTGCCGTACGCATCAGGAAGGATGAAGCAATGAACTTCGCAAATAAGTGGTAAGTCAATGATATAATGGAATGTTCTGGGAGTTTCTAGTAGACCGAAGGAGGAACGTTGAAGGTGGAACTAAATTGTTGTAAAAGTTCCTGCACACGTAAGACCCGGCACCCACTGAGAGGACGGCACGACAGGGGATTTTTTTGTGACGAATATACTTTAATGTTATGTCATCGTAGCATTGAGGTATATTGGTCACATAAAAATCCCTAATCCTGCCGATAACGTCATCGTTATAGTTGAAATTTCAATGACAATGGTCGTTGCTACGAAAACAAAACTGCGGCAAGTTTAGGGTTACCGAACCAGCAGCCACCCTCACGCGTCGGCAACCTTCGGGATGTTTCTGCAGGATTTTATGTTTGACGTCACGACTGATCTGAATAGAGGCTAGGCGCCAGCACGATGTCGCGATTGTATGCGTCTGCGTAACTAAGGATATCGCAGCATATTTTCATGTAGTGATGCCGAAGGATCGATCCAAATGCCCTAGCGTGTTGCCAATGAGCGTCGGGCCTAGCCCTGTAAAACATACCCTGTTGACCTTTTCACAATTTTCTCAAGTTAGCTTAACGTACTGCTACGCTTAGAATAATAACGCATAGAATGATAGTTTCATATCAAACGAACTGTCACAAGTGAGGCAAAAATCAAATTCATGTAGGCTAGTTTTAGTAGTAGGTTAATTTTCGGTTTTAGTGAATATTTATAAAAAAATACAAGTTGAAACGCGTTACTTCCTTGTGGAATGTGATGTTAGTATCTATTTTATGTTTGTCTGACGTATTTTTACACTCATTGGCAGCACATTTCGTCATTTTTAGCTAAAATTCTTGATCTGTTCGCAGTACAAGTTGATCTTGAGCACTGAAGGCCCGCCTGCTCGTGTAGGCCCATTGGGCGCGCTTCAATTTGCCTCACTTAGCGTATGCGGACTAGGTTTCTATGCGTTATTATTCTAAGCTGCTACGATTGAACGTACGTGATGAATGGTGATGATGGCGATGATCTCATCATAATTCCCTTCTCCGACGTCGAGTACGCCTACACTCACTATAATTGAACAAGAACCCGACAACAGGCTATCATTTTCCGCTCTTCTGTGGAGACGCCAATGGTAATTTCAGCACCACGGTCATTATAGTACCATGATCATTTTAACACCATGTTCATTTTAATACCATGGTCATTTTTGCACATTGGTCATTTGTCCCCAAAATGCATTGGACACAAAGCTTGTTTTTAAACGAAAAATATACCAAACATTGTAACCTAAAAAATTTTAACGATTCCATAAGCACAAAGTAATTTTTTTATAAGCAAATTTTAGTTAACAGAAAAAATATTTCAATAAAAATATCTGTCGGCGGGTGTTGCGATGTGATAGTGGCGCGAGATAATCGCACCGGAAAGTGAAGCAGTAAATGCCTTTATTATTTCTAGATTTCCTAAATTTTCGTTATTGATAAATGGAACCCAAGGCTATGGGAATAAGACCTAAAGTTATAAAGTTGTTGTCAGTAGAAAAAAATTCTAAGCAAATATTCAGACGATTATTATAACGAAACAACAATAGTGAATTTTTAATTATTTTTTTTATTACGTTATTTTTTCAATATTTCGTACGAATCTAGAATGCCAATTCAATAAATAACCTTTTTGAACGATTTCTCAAGGTATACATAATGTTCTGTCTACACCGTCTCAATTCTTTTTCTTTTTTTTTTAACAGATTGCGAAAAACGAGGAGGTTCTCAACTCGACTGTGATTTTTTGTGTCAATTGTTATTTATATTATAGAATTATTTGATATAGAATAGAATAGAAGTCGTTTATTAGAATAGAAGTCGTTTATTACTATATCATATTTCTACTAATTAATTCAAAATATTAAAACAATTTTCGATACACATGTTTAAACAACCTCTCGGTTGTTTAAACATGTGTATCGAAAATCGACTGGTCAAACTGTTCTGTTCTATAGAATGCTTGGGATATACTCATGTCTTAGGATCAAGCACCAAGGATCGGCTTTAAGCCCCTATCTGTTTGTCCTGATTATGGATGCTCTAATATCGGACATACAGGAGGAGGCACCCTGGTGCATGCTGTTCGCCGACGACATTGTACTTGTCGGGGAGGACGCACTTGAGGTCCAGAGCAGACTGGCAAAATGGCAGGTAAGACTGGAGGGTGTCGCCGGTCAAAAACCGAACAGGTTTTCCTCGACTTTGGCGGTACCTCCAGTTTTACCAATATTGCCTTAGATGGCGCATCCCTACCAGTTTGCTCCGATTTTCGGTACCTCGGTACGTTAATACAGAACGACGGCGAGATAGACCGCAACGTTAAGAACAGAATAAGGGCAGGATGGATGAAATGGCGACGGGTCACAGGCACTATTTGCGATCGGCGAATGCCCCTTAAGGTATAGAGGAAAATTTACAAGACCGTGATTAGACCTGTCATGTTATATGGATCAGAATGTTGGGCGATGAAAAGGGAGGATGAACGAACTGTGCATGTATCGGAAATGCGAATGTTGAGATGGATGTGTGGAGTGACGAAAAAGGATAAGATAAGAAATGAGTACATCAGGGGAAGTTTGAAAGTGGCGCCAGTGACGGAAAAGATGAGGAGTAATAGGTTAGCGTGGTAGGGACATGTCATGCGGAGGGAAGAATGTTACGTGACGAGAAGATTGCTAGGTATGAATGTGGAGGGATATAACGGGAAAGGAAGGCCAAAGAAAAGAGGGATGGATTGTGTGAAAGATGACATGGATAAAAAAAGTGCGAGTATAAAAATGACGGCTGATAGGGGAGACTGGTAGAAAAATACATGCTGTGCCGACCCCAACTTTTTTTTTGACGGGGGAAATCTTTATGGATACCCCTGAGCCCAGGGAGACTCTCCCTCCAGACTGGAGGGCCTACCCCACTAAAACCCCCGGGTTTCCCTCTCGCCGGTTGAGTCGGCGCCGTGAGATCGGTGAACATTCACCACGACGCCGCCCAGGTGCCGACCCCACCGCGACCCCATAGCGTGGGATAAGGACAGGAAGAAGAGATACTCATGTCTTAGGAGAAGTTTTATCTCGACTGCGCCACAGCTATTTGGGTCCTAAATAATATACATCGTGTACTGCTTCCGTAAGCTGGCAAAAGATCAAATGGATCAAACCAAACGTCATTCTTGAAATAAAACAATGTCCTGGTGTATGAAAACTTATATATTATTCTCAAAACTCAATATCGTCATTTTCAACAATGAATCACATTTTACATAACATAATACATACATAATATAAATTAAGACATGCACTAATTGCACCTTACATGGAAAACCTAATGTTGGGAACTTTGCACCACAAAACCTTATTACGTTAATTTCTGTTTCAATATAAAAATATTGTATACTTCAAAATTTAATAAATTGCTACAATTGTGCGCAATTTCTTTCAAAATTTTTTACACTTAAATTGGACGCTTATAGAAGCACTGCAGTGGCGCAACAGAGGCGCGACAGCTGCGCGTCACGTTTACTTAACTAATTGTTACTGCAAATGTGGCGCGCGCGTGTCATGACAGCGGCGCTGCCACAGATATTGTACGAAAATCAGTAATGGCACGGCTGACGCGCCACTGCAGCGCTTCTGTAAGCGTTTAACAGTGCAAAGGCATTCATTGCAACCGTAAGTCGATATAGATCTTCCATACTGTCTTGTCACTTCAACTTAAGCTAAGTAGAAAAAAATGGTCACAATAAATTAATTAATGATGGTTACAATGTGATGATTTCTAATACTTTAAATAGTCATTTTAATTTTAACGATTAATATTTTTACGGTAGTAGCATTTTTTATTGAACAAACAGATATAAATCTGCAATTAATAAACAACTATAAAACTTCTCGAAGATTATGAGTTAACATTTACTTCACCTATTATTTAATATTAGATTGAATAAAACGTCCAAAACAAAACGTTTTACCGAGTTTTGTTCACTTTAACAATTAATTTTCAAGTGATAGATACGTTGAGTGGAGCTTTGCAAAACTCGCAACGAACTCACCTCTTCACTGCTCCCAACGCTTTAGACTACTTTAATATTAGTGGTATGCTTCCATCGAATGCTCAAAATTATGCTTCGCATTTTTTAGCTGGCCTCATCGTCCACAAACAATAATACAAACGATCGCGATAAATATTTGAAATTTTTTCACGACCAACACCACCCATAAAGAAAAAAGATCTAAAATTTTCTTTACACAAATAGGACAAAATAACCTCTCCCGGCGTTCTTTTTATTATACCACCTTACAAGGAAAACAACATTTTAGTTAAACTAAGATGGAACTTTTGTCAATAATCGGGTTTTTCACTCTATATGTGTTTTTAATAGCACTAACTGTATCAACCTATGCTTATACGTCCCACCACTGGGCACGGGTCTCCTCTAAAGAGAGGCTTTAGGCCTCAAGTCATGCTGCTGACGGTTTGGGCAGATATCACTAATAGAAAATGCGATATTTTTTTTACATTTTGGCGAAATACAGGGTAACATTTTTATTCCACGATGTTTCAGGGGGTGAGCCTATCCATAAATACGAACAAACTGTACTACATGTCACACATGAAATCGTGAAACAATCAGCTATTATTTTGATCGATTATACACGAACATTTAGCAAGGAACAGCTTTTTCAAATGTCACCCTGTGTAATTTTCACTGGAAGACTTAATAATACAAAACAATGCCCGCGAAAGTAAATAACTCATTATGTTCGAGAAAGCGACAACATTAAATAAAATAGTATTAAACGATCATCTTAATCGTAGTTAACTAAAATTTGATACAGGCTAAAAGCCTATCTGGTTTGTTCCTTGGTAAGCGCAAGTTAAAATTGCAATTTAATTGTATTGTAACGATGGGGAAGTTAGTTACAAATGCACAAATAAAAATAAAAAATAATTTATCTATCAATTGAGCACTAATCTACCAAAAAGTTGTAGACACCTAAACTTCATATCAAGCATATGGACTGTAAGTTCTTTTTAAACTTGTGAATTTAGTAGTTAGGCGTAGTTTGCTACTACATCCATGGTAGCGCTTATACTTGGCACCTGAGACCGTGTTGTCTGTTGTTATATTAGAATGCGGGTAAAACTTATTTACTTTGTAGTTTAACTACCGTCCTTGTATGCTTTCTAAAAAATGTTGTTATAATACGTTTATGTGCACGTGTTCTCGTGTAAGTAAGTTACTTGTAATTCTTAGTGAGAATAAATGTCTTAAACCACAACTTAACAAAGCGTTACCTGTTAAATTTCGACGTATTATAAATCAGGAATGCAATAAATCGTTGTGACTTGTAATTCATTTAAAAAATCATCATGAATATTTAATACTAAAACTTTTCAATGTAAATTTCTGACACAATTCCAAATCAAAACGTATTTTTAAGATATTTTTCCCTACTTCTCAATAATCACAACACTACAGGATATACAGTTCCATTTTTCACAATTAAAAATATTGATTTTTATTAATAAGACTTGATTATATTAATTTGTTCGATTCCGCTAAAGAAGTGTGTATACATTGTTCTGAAGTGTATTTTTCACAGGCACTAATTTCACATTTAACAAAAGAGTATTGACTACCGAAGTTTCGTTGCGTAACAAAAAATGTTACGCGGTAAATATATAGAATTGTTCAAACATATCTTGCGCGTCAGTTTGAACAACTCTTCAAGTGTAATAGGTAAATAGATTTTTGTATCACTGTATCATTATTTTCGCTAGAAGAAACGATCATGACAACATACTATAGCAAATGAAATGATCACAATACGGTAGTGATTTGGAAAGAGCGCCATTATATACTCAATTATTCTACATAAAAGTCTTTGCTCTTGCGCATTGCGGTCATGCAGAGTAATTGTAAACGAAGTTTTTTAATAGTTTTTTTAGGAATTTATAAAGCCAATTTAAAAATACAATTACGCTGCATGTTCACTTTATCTAGCACGTACATAAGGCATATTTTCAATCTGCGAAAGTTCCGAAATCTTATTCTTTAAGGACTAATCGTAAAATTCGTCTATCTCCGATGAGCGAGCGATTATCGATCATTTTCCCTGGCGGGAGATACGAATTAATAGGCAGGGACATTGTCTCACAAGTTCTATTACACAACGCTCTTTTCGGCGCAAGGAAATTGCGATCCATTCAAGCTCATGAATTAATCTATCAGATTAGTTAAAACCGTCACAGAAACAAACTAATTAGAAGTCCACTTAGTCGTTACTAGATAGATAATGTTGTCGCATAAAGAGCCTCACTCTTGCACGATCCTAGTCCTGTCGTTGGCGTAGTAGACGAGCAGAGAAGGACGGCACGGGGGTCATTGCGCGGGCGCAGTCGCCGCGGACGCGTTGGAAGGGCGCGGGCGCGGGGCCTGCCGCCTTTGGCGCGCGAGGAACGAGTGCCCGGCTGACAGGAGGGCGAAGCGGGTTTCCACCTGAAGAACAATTAGTATTTATTCTGTCCGGCAAACAGACTATCCGATGACGCACACTGTTGAAGTAAGATATTTCCTATACCAAAATTAAAAAGATAATTCTCACTATGACTAATGCAACTAAAGTATGTAAAAATACCAAGATATGATGTATAAACAACGACCAGGATTTCGTTATCTTGCCTCGCTTTTCGGGTCCTGTTTGGTTGGTTAACAATAGTAATATGTAGGAGGTTCTGTGTTCGGTACCCATCGAGGAGCCTGCACCACTAGGTGCTTTCCAATCGTATGCAGTGTAGTTTACTAAAAATCACTTGCTTTAATGGTAAAAGAAGTCGGCTTGTGAAGTCCTAACTAACTTGGGGTCAGCTCGATGGACTATAGACTAAAAGCCTCCCGTGCCCAAAAGTGAGTAGATACGTTTCTAATGATTATGACTAGTTGGTTAACCGTATCTCCTCATTGGCGGCTAATGGGCTTAAATAAAAAGCGACATACTGCGTCCCGATGGCATCGCGCGCCGAGCTGGTACCACGCCGAAGCCAGCAGCCGCTGCTCGCTATTGGCGCGTGCTCCTTCCTCACTTCCGCTCCCGCTACCGCTTCCGCTCCACCTATAACAAACAACAGTACAATAATTCAAAATTAAAGTAAGTCTCTATGATATGATTCCCGTTTATGACCATTCCATATCGTCCCGGTAATTGTCATATAAATAAAGCCATTTTTCACCAATTTTCAGCCAAAGTAAAGCACAGAGAAATCACCTTTCAGCGACCAATAAAATTCCGTTATTTTGACACGTTCAAGTCGCTTAGTTATAGTAACGAAATACCTTTGATTGCAGAAGCATAATTTTCCTTTTTTTAAACTAAAACTTTCATAGATGTCTCACAGATGGCGCTACTGCACAAAGTTGTTAAAAACCACAGATATTTATCTAGATAGACGCCGCAAGTGCACGTACTTCGCGTGCCCAAAGTAAGTGAAATTCACTTATTTGCCGCTGCTACACTTCAGAACGCGCTCGACCGTTATCGTAGTTAAACACCAGTCGAAAACGCGAAAACTGCAAAAGCACCATAACTTAAGGGTATAATAAAGAGTTGGGCAGATACATACATACAATTATTACTACAAATGTGGAAATAAGCGTACACAATAAGAAATGTACCGATACTCTAACTAAACGTAAACTCAAATATCCGTAATTCCGAATTATAACAAAACCGTTACGCTTTACGATTTTGATGCTTTTTACATATATAGATTTTAAGACTTTCGTGGTTATTCACTAAATGATTATCACTAGTAACAGGTTTCTTACCACGGTATAACTTCTTTTTATTTTCCCGATATTTCGGAACGGTTGCACGTTCCATGGTCACGGGTTGACTGGACGGCGGCAGATGACAGCTTTATGGGCAGACATATCTGTCTACCCTCTTGCGCTGTCGACGACTACCTTCATCGCGATTTGTTGTGGCGTTACCATTGTCACTCACTTTTTTCACACAAACCACACTTACTGTATCCACACGCGAAACTGAACTCGAGGTGTTTTTGTTTTTATTACTGCACGCACTAAGGACCGGATTCCATGCACTGGACAGTTTAAAACCATCATCACGGTTAAATGTTTTGTACTTCGTGATCTCGATGGCTTCTCGTACCAACCGTGGTATGTAGTGACGTTCTGTCGAGAGTACCTGGGGGCTATGCAACTCGATCCAGTGGTTAGTGTCAGTCTGTGTGAGATGTTGTGCTATAGCCGACTTCTGTGCATCATTGTTTTTTACTGCTCGGATGTGTTCCTTCATACGATCGACAATTGTTCGTTTAGTCTGACCGATATACGAGCTCCCACAACTGCAGTTCACTTTATAGACACCCGGTGTTTGTAAAGGAAGGTGGTCTTTTGGTGAACGTAACATTTTTCCTATTTTGGTTAAGGGGGTGAAAACAGTTTTTATGGAAAACTTCCTTAGCGACCTGGCTATTTTATCTGTCACCCCTTGTACATAGGGCAGAAAAACTGGTAGTCTCTGTACGTCAATTTGCTTCTTCCTTTTGTGTATTGGTTTAAATGTTTTTATTTTGTACCCATTCTGTCGCAAAACCGTCTTAACGTGCTCCTGTTCCTGTGGTAGGTGGTGTGAATCACAAAGATCATAAGCTCTATTGGTTAATGACCTGACGACCGAATGTAGGTGTTTTGGGTGATGATGTGAAGTGGCATGTAAATATTTGTCCGTGTGTGTTGGTTTTCTGTACACAGAATGACCGAGTGAACCGTCTTGTCGGACTTTGACCAATACATCCAAAAATGCAAGCGCGCGATTTTTCTCAATTTCACAAGTGAACTTCATTTTGTTATGGGTGTTATTAAGACGTGCTAAATAATTTTGTATATGTTGCTCATTTCCTTCCATTATGCAAAATACGTCATCAACATACCTCTTCCATAATTTTATTGTTGATGGTGCTGACAGAATGGCGGCGTGTTCATAGTGTTCCATCCAAATGTTGGCAACAACGGGAGCAACGGGACTGCCCATCGCTACACCATCAATCTGAAGGTAGTATTGACCGTTATACAGGAAGTAGCTCGAATTTAAGCAATGTTCAAGTAATTGAGCAATCTCCATTGGGATGTTATTTTCTTGAAGTTTCACTTTGATAACGTCGATGCACTCCTTTATTGGTACGTTTGTGAAAAGAGACTCAACGTCATAACTAACCATTGTCTCATTCTCGTCAACTGTGGTACTATTTAGGATCTCAATGAAATGCCTGGAGTCCTTCACAAAAGAGTTCGTTGTGCCTACTAGAGGTGTTAGTGTACGAGACACATATTTTGCCAATTCAAACGTGGGTGAGTCTATCTGACTCACTATTGGTCGTAATGGTACGTTAGTTTTGTGGATCTTTGGCAAACCATAAAGCCTCGGCGGCTGGACGATACGTGGACGTAATAGTTGTTTTTCTATATCAACTGGGATAGCGCTCCTACATTTACATAGACAAAATTAGCTTTTGTTTTGTAATCTTCGTAAACACATTATGAAAATTCGAGCTAATGTCATTTCGGGCAAATGTATTTTCTGACTTCTGATAGGTAATCCCATGCC